GGTAGACTGTATCGTGTGTAGTGTGTAGTGTGTGTATTTGTAGGGTATTTGTAGTGTAGCGTGTAAGGTATTTCTGAAAACTGTGAAAGCTTCTTTGGATAATGTTCGGCGGATTCGATTTCGATAGCTGTACACCACGACTATGTACCTGACTCACTTGAAATAGGTGAGCTAGCTTTGCTCTAATATTTTGCTGAGTTTGTGTGCATAGGCCCAAAAGTCCATATATTGTCCATGCATAAGCTTGTGCAAGTTCCAGATAAAGTTTGCATATTGCGAATTCCTGTTTCGAAACTAGATCATTTGAAATCGCTTCAGATCAATCAAGTGAGCGCAAACGAAAACTCGAGAAACTCGCTAAACTCTTTACATATTTAACACAGGTGAATTTCCCAACGCTAATTCTTTTTCCCCAGGGCCTCAAGCAGTTACCTGCAAAAAGTGAACAATCAAAGTCTGAAGACACTGATCCGGTCCCAAGAATCCCATCGATACCTCCGCTAAACAATTTTTCTTTAGTCATATTTGTAATTGTCCAGAGAAGCAATTACACGAATGAAAGTTATATAGTAAACAGCAGATCAAGGGAGTAACTCTTCTATATCAATGTTGAGAGTACGAACCCGAAGGGGAAAGCAGGGAACTTTTCATTTTGATCACCGCAAAAATGCATTGGGCTGCAATTTAGATAACTTAACCGACTTACCAAAAGGTAAAAATTCTACCTATATTCAATACTTGTATACTGTTCATCATTGGTAACGACTGGTATAAATCCGTTCATATGGTTAGGATCATAATTATTTAAATGCGCAAGAGGTTTGTTAAATATAGTTTCCAACATTTACGCCCTAAGTTCATTTTTTTCCGCGCAAATGTTGGCGCAACGCTATGTATACGTCATATCCCGAAAAATAAAAACAATGAATTGCATATCCCTTCAAGGGGGGTTTCATAGCTATTTTTATTGCTTCCTATCTACAAAAGAAAAATTCATCAATTTTGAACAACAAAATTGCAACAAGTATGTAATCTGATAGTTCGGCTAAGTCTAGACAGGCTTAAGTTACGCTTATCGAAAGCGTTCTCCCCCTACAAGCGGTTTGTTTAAAAAGAAATTGACCGATATGTATACTTACGTGTGTCTGGTAATGTTTACACAGGAGTAATCCGCGTTGAGCCGGCATTTCCCAGAGTGGTTCTGCAAACACACACACACACACACGCGTATAAAAAACAATCTCTCTTGCTTTTGTTGACTCTTCAAGCAATGTGCACTCTTCTACAGCGAGAATCTGGGTCATAGCGGAGGATTCCCGTAGAAACAAATAGGCTATGGAATGTTGCATACGAGCAAAGCTTACATTTTGATTCCAAATGGATGGAAGCAGTATTTTGAAAGGGGCGGGACGGGAGCCGAGGAAATAGAGCATCGGGATTGGCTTCTTTGTCCACAACGTATGCAGGAAAGTCAGTAGTAATAAAGTCGATTCATGATAGTAATGTGCATTAAAAAAATGTTAAAAATCAAAACCCCTTCTTTTTTAAAGAAAAGATCTACTAAAAACTTCTGCAACTCGTAAATTCCACAACCAAAAGCACAAAAAAATCCCTGCATAGTTCTCCTCCTCCAAAATGAGCTCCTCTTCCCCCCCCCACCCATTCTTGAAGTATCTAACTGCAGGAGGTAAGATGCTGGAGGATTTCTCATCTACTTGCATTTTTCGAACATTAAGAAATGCAAATATTTGCAAGCTATCAGTTCTGAGAGACACTTCAGAAAAATGCGGTCGTAATGTACAAAATTTGGAAACATAAGCTTAAAAGTGCACCCCCAGAAACTTCTTCTACGATAATCAAATTTCCGTAATCTCGACATTTTCTTACTACAAATTATGCAAAATATGAAGAAGATGACTCTAAGGCATTTGCACAAAAATGAGTACTAGGAAAATGCAGACGAAACATAGCAAAGCACCTATAGCGCTCTAAGCCGTTACGAGACTAAACGAATTTCGTCTCTCTTTTCTTATGCTTCCAATTCGATCGTCTTGAACAAAGCTCTTTCTTACTTCTTGGAAGAAAATGAAGGCCTGAGCTGTTTAGCGCAAAAGCAAGAGATCAAATAAATGTAAAAAATCCATTATGAAACTTGTCTGTGGCTAATTCACGATTTCCCGGAGACCGGACTCTTATTTTTCTCTTGTGGAGTTCATGATGTTTGATGAAAAAGCTTGTCTTTTTGAAGCCACACATCACTTAAACAATTCATAAAGTTTTCATTTGATTTCATCATTTACTGAACAACTTTCGCACTACCTTGAAAAACTTATTTTCATCCCCCTCCTCCCTAGTAATTTCTGGGCTTCGCCATGACTCACCCTTACCCGCCAAGAGTGAGTTTGTTTAATTGTAGATATAAATGAAAGATTACCTGAAACAAAATGAGATTTAAGCTGGAGTGGATGAATAGATGGTAAACTATGTAACCATGTGAATGAGTGGAGGCCAGTAAGTAAACTAAATGACAAGACCTGAGTGGGAGAATCGAATGGGTAATAAATGAATGCGATATATTTATTAAAATAGAATGTATTAGGTCGGTGCGAAGTTCGTGCCTTTTCTGAGACTTATGCAGGAAACGTTCAAAATAGAAGGTAAGCGCTCTAAACATATTCCGTGCAAAATTTCTTCCTCTTTCTAATAGCAGTTCTGTTCTGGTTCTTCTGAAGGCTTAATAACTGTCTCAATAACCCATTTTTTTTCATTTACCCCAACGTTGGCTATTTCTATCGACTTTCATTTCTAGCTTTTGAAAGAGTTTTGGAAAGTGGTAACAAAATGCAAGAGAATGTATATTTCTGGAATTCAGTGGAATTTCAATTTTTTAAAAATAAATTTCTCAAAGATTTGGTCATCCCAAATCCCATAGCACATCAGACAGCAACAGCTAACCTGTCATTCAAGGCTTGTTCTCGTTTTTTTGTAAACGTTTTTCTCCCTAATTCGTGGAGGTTTTCAAGAATAAAATTATCGTATCGTAGTTCTAGTTTCTAAACACTCCTCAAGCTGTGCGTGCGTGGTAAATCTAAAATTCAATACTCGAAGCTGCAAACACTTTTTTACTTTGTTCTTTTGGAGTCTGAATTTCCAAATTTTTTTTTGGTGTCTGAAGCATTTGTGTATCTCACGGATTCGCAAAAATAAAGACTTTTGGAAAAAAAAATCTTGAAAACTTGCAAGCCAGTAAAAAAGTCCGAAAAATTCACTATCTTGCATTTTGTCTACTCTATGCAATGGCCATCAAAGCTCTCCTTAAGTTGGATGAAAATTTAAGAAAAAGCCAAAATTAGATTAGGTAAAAATCATGAGTTTGAAGATTTTGAAAATTATTCGAGCGACCGTTAATGATCTGAAACAGAAGCATCGCTGCCAGAAAGAACAAGAAATTCGGCACCGATAGGTGGGACAGATTTTGATATCTTCTTTTAGTAGTTTAAATAATAAAATCTGTTAATATTTTACATGCGCTAGAGGGCAAGGCATCAAAATTGATCTAAAAAATAGCAGTCATGTTAGAAATGATCAACATGAAAGAAAAAGATAAGAAATTGATGTGGTATTGGGATGCTTAAAGGATCTATTGTAGGAATGAGCCAATAGTTGAAAGAACGAACGAATGAAGAGTAAGTCTGAATGACTGAATTGGAGAATGGGTGAATCAATGAAAGAATGAATAATGGGTGAATGAATGAGAAAACAAATGTGTATCTTGAAAAGTTGAAAGTCACAGCCGGTACATCAAAGAACGGATGAGATGACCACTTGAAGCAGGTCATGACTCACAAGGTCAACTCACTCCTACACAACTTTTTCCTTCCTTCTGATGTGTTATTTGTCGTGCACTCTAGTTGATCTTGTTTATTATTTCCTCTTGAGTCATTACTCCAACCGTCATGCATCATTGCACAATTATTTGGAATAACATATTTACGCTCAAATAGAATAAACAAAAAAGAGACGCAATGCAAAGATCTTCAGCTGCTCGAACTCCAGATCAAATATTTTTAGAAAGTGCCTGTTCCGCTAAGAGATCTTCCGAACCAGAAGATGTTGGCGTACATAAGTTAACTTCAAATTACATTCTGAAAACTTCGAAGTAATAAGCGTAAACTTCAGAAAATGACAGCTTTCTGAAAATAGAAAAAAATGTGAGAGATCACAGTAAAACTTTGCACTAGAAAAAGCACTATTCCAGGAAAACGAGTACAAACTCTGAGTAAATAGCACGATTTTGTTTGTATTGAACACAAAGAGTGAGTTCGCGACGAAAAGCATTGCGATTTTTGCTTTTGCGTCAAATGGACGTTTTTGCAAGAATAGAATTTTTTCTTAGAGTTTATTAGTCTCCCTTACAGGGTCCGCCATAGTATTTGTGTCTAATAAGCCCTAGTAGGTGCATGAGTAATATTCTGCGTCAAAACAAAAATTTTTGCAGCTATTTTGAATGAAGATAAGTTGGCTCAAAGAGGGGAGGGGACAAATTTCTTATTTGTGAGATTTCTTAGTGAGTAGCTGCACCTATGTTTACGTCGCCATTCCGGAAACATAAATCCTTTAGCTTTGATCGTAAAAACTATGATTACCCAAAATCACTCAGGAAAACTTGTCCGAGAAAGTCTGAGAGGTTTATGTGAAAACACTTCTAGAAGTTGTTGGTATGACTATCGGATTATTGGAGATTAATGACAAGACTGAGAGTAGCTTAATACGTTATGCAGGTCGCTTTTTCATTGTACACATCATGGCGGAGTATAGACGCAGCCGGACCGGTTCTTCTACGGAATTCCTAGAGTACGCGCCGCAAGGTTTGACACGCGACGCGCGCGTCAATGTCGACGTCGCCGCCGTCATGAAGGCGGTGACGACGACGGCACGAACAAATAAAAACTTTGAACGACTCACAAGTTGACTTTTATCCGGAATTATCGCCAGCATCACGTCAACGTCGCCGAAGCCGGACCGGAACGGACGCGACGCGCGACGGCCGCGACGGCAGCGATATAAAGCGCTCCGGACAACCTCTGCCATCGTTCTCCACTCGAGCAAACATGCGTTTTCTGTTCATCGTCGCCGTCTGCTCGATTGCATTCATTTCGGCTGAGCCGGTAAGTTCTCCGATTTCCTTATTTGTCTACTTTAGTTTACACTTACTGTACTTCGAATTTTGGTGTATTTGCGGTATCTTGGTGCATCTTATTCCTTGTTCGCCTGTAGTATAATAGTCATCTGAAATTTTTCCTCGTGCAAATTGAAAATGTCTATTAGAACTTGTATTCCCATAATTACTGCAGCATGCAACAATATAGTCGTATCTCCGTTACTGTAACATGCAACAGTATATTCGTATTCTCCCCGGTACTGTAGGACGCAACAGTATAACTATATTCCTAATTACTGTAGCATGCAACAGTAAAGGTGCGCTCTTGACACCACTGTCGCAGCAACAGTATGATGCAACAGTATAGCTGTATCGTGCCAGTTACTGTAGAATGCAACGGTATGGTTGTATTCTCCCTGGCCCTGTGGCATGCAACAGTATACGTACAAACTCTTCAGATTCGCAAGCGTCGTTGTTGCATGCCAATGTGTTCCTGCATACAACAAGGTTGTTCGTGTTTGCCAGCGCTACAGTTCTCATCATGTCAATGTGCCGTTCAACAAGTAATTCGGTTTTTATGTTATGATTCTCGCATTACGGTTGTCATACGGTATTGAACTTTATAGTGCGCTCCGATGTGTCAATCCGCTTGTATGAGCACTTGCCCTATGCCAATCTGGCAATGCCAACAAATGTGTGGAAATACTTGCATAGCATCGTGTAGTCCACAGGTTTGTTAATTTTCAATTTTTACACTTCCGTTCAGGAATTATTTTGCAGGCTTCTTCATGTGTACAACAATGCGAGATCGCTTGTCAAGGACAACCGAATGAAGCTGCTTGCCTGCAATCTTGCCAGGCTGGATGGTAAGTTAGAGCAAATATCGGATTATCCCAAGAAATAGTGTGTGCACATTGGAGAAGGTAAAGAATCATGAAAACTGCGCGGAAGTTATTGTTGTGTGCAGCAGGCGTCGAGTACTTGTGTGCACAAATGATTTGGAAAGTACGGAAAAATTCTGCGAATAGCTGGCACACAGTGCAAATCTTGGTGCAGAAAGGATATTAAAGAAAGAATTAGAAAGACTTTGAGCGATATTGTATCTATATCAGAGTTTCACCGTATCATTACCGTATATCTCCCTTTTATAGCGCTGAACCTTCGCTACCAACGACAATCTACAGCCCACCAAGCATCCCAGCTACCGTACCAACCACTATGCCACCCACACTGCCACCGGTTACGCTGCCACCCACTACCCTACCTCCCATCACCATGCCACCTACCACTGTTCCCACCCTTCCACCCACCACTATTCCCACCTTTCCACCCACCACCATTCCAACCCTCCCGCCCACCACCATTCCCACCATGCCACCCACTCCACCACCAACCCTTCCGCCAACTCCACCACCCACAACCACAACAATGGCGCCAATCACCTATCCTACCGTACCCATCACCTACCAGCCAATCACGCCTACTGTAGGTTTACTGTACTTTAAGCTTGTCCATAGTCATACCGTATATTTCAGCCAACTCCTTACTACGATCAGGATCCATGCCAACAGTGTATGGGAGCATGTATGAACGAGTGTGCAGCTGCGGGACAGCCTCAGCAACAGTGTGAAGAAGCTTGCGCTCAAAATTGTGCATCAGTGTGCGGTGCACCCAGCACGACACCTTCGCTTTACCAACCGGTGAGTATAGTCAACTGCAAGTTTCTAGAAAAATTCTTGTAAAGTTAAGGAGCCGGGAAGGTAGATGAACTGTAATTTTTGAGAATTTTTAGATGAATTTGTACGAGATACACCACGGACGTGGCTTGCCTCAAAAGTTGATGGTCTTATTCTTTACAGTACCCGCAAGATTCGTGCAGCCAATGTCAAACAGCTTGCATGGAAGCATGCCAACAACAGGGTGGAGAGAACTGTCAACAACAATGTGATGTACAATGCCAGTCAGTTTGCGGAACTACGGTAGGTATACTGTATTCTCTCCCCTTGTGAGGCAAAAGCTAAACTTTTGCGTTCCAGACTACTCAGCAAGTTTGCATACCTGCATGCCAACCATCTTGTACTGTATCATGCATGCAAGGACAGCCAGCAGTGAGTTACATTACAGTAAACCTACAGTACTCCCTTTGATGTCCGACCTTTTCATTCTAGCAGATTGTGCTGACTGTAAATGTACCCGTTTCTGCGTTTTCGCCCAATTGCCTGCCGCAATGTCAACAGACTTGCAACGCACAATGCGTAGTTCAGAATCCAGTACGGTCAAACTACCACCACAGCAAACCGCACAATCAATCGATAAGCATTCTAGGCATCACAATGCGCACCAGCGTGCGCATCATCATGCTCTAATTCGTGCCAGTCGTCCGGAATGATCTCCTGCCAACCGCAAGGAGCGGGTTGCTCGTGTCCACTACGCTATCGCAGATGCAAGAGGACGATGTGTTGCCGCAGAACATAGGCTCATCACCCCTAGACGGTGAACTAGCCCCCATGGGTATTTGTATATTTGTTTCGAGGTACTATGAGTGCCGACTGGAACTGCCATGTGAATGTGAACTGCCCTCTTTTTGCTTTTTTGTTCCGCTGCAGTTGTGTGTGTTTCCCGTTGAACCTACACTTTGTGGATTCTATAAGAAAAAAGTGCTGCACAAGTGCTGTTCAGTCCGCATTGTACGTATTATCATTGCAATACGCTTTTGCGAGGGAGTATACACAAAGACAAGTTCATTTCCGGGAAAGAGGAGCGATAGAAATTCAGCCCAGAATTAATCTACGTTGACCTAAAACATCGTATTCCATTGCGTCGTATGGCAGCGCTGATGAACTTGAACCTTTACATTAGAAATCCATCAGTCTCTGACCTGTTTTTTTTTGTGATAGCAGTTATGTCTATAAGGTGCCAATTTCCGCCTATTCTGTTGCTGTGAGATGCCCAAAAATAAGCATAACAGCAAGACTAAATAATCATTGTGCGGAGGTAAACGCTACAATTATCAACTGCTGCACACTTACACAAAAGATAGTTTGAAATTTTCCTGGGGACTTGATCTCACATTGTGCACTTTCCTCATTCTCCAAACATACGCCGAATTTGGCATTAGCACTCGTTTGGCAACTCATTCGGGGGCTTTCGAGTAGTTACGAAATCGTTTGAGGCATTGGCTGCCAATAAAGATGCCCCAGAAGAGTCCTCGAGGATCAACATCAGTTCCAGTTAGACCTTAGGCAAATCAGCCTGAAATCAGTCGAGCTTTTGAGCGAGAGATTTGATACTGGCTAGTTATGAGATCGCAAAATAGCGTGTATGTAGAAAGAGTCAACAATCGCGCTTTGCCTATTTCACTCGGTTCACATTTGGTAAGCTGATTTGAACCTGCTAGGATCACTGCATCACAAACCAGTACAAAGAGGAGGTAAGAGCATGTCGACAGTTAACGTGGCCCGCTATTATTAGGCTGGAAACTAAGTTTTACACCTTCTTTCATAACTTTGCACTTTCTTGGATATGGCGCACTCAAATTTTGGCAGTTTTTAGAGCGTAATGCGTGCTATAAATGCGCACAAACCGTTCAAGCTTTGCACACGTTAAAATTCCAGCCATTTTTCAAAAACTAGTAGATATTGAGATTTTTTAAAGCCAAAGTGATGCTGTTAGCAGCCCAGACTATGCGCAATATTCCGAAATCATGTACGATTCGTTGCTAGAGCTTGACTCGTTCTACGAAAGAAACAAGATTTAAGGGCATGTCTAGATTTGACCCCCCACAAATTTGAACGAGTTGCTGTAGGCAAGGCTCCTGTGACAACTGCCAATGACTAAAGGGACAGAACCTTAAAATTTGCCGAGACTTCACTGACTTTGGCACAGGAAATAATATTCTTAAATTATCTCAGCGAAATTGAGAATTTGCGTTTTTATAGCCATTCTTACGCTAAATTGAAGGTTTCTGTGAACGTTTCTCCAAAAATCAGGACAACTTTCTCACTTAATTCTTGTTTGACTAAAATTGAAAGAGCTTTAGAGAAATTTAGGGCCGCATGCACTAACATCCCCACGGGGAGGGGATCGCAGCTTAAAAGAAAGCTTTGTATTTCGAAACTCCAGATACCTGGATTTCACGTTGTATACTCATCCGTAAGTATTCCTACTACCCTTCACTATGAACATGTTGAAGAGGAGCGAGAAGCTGTACGAACCGCATTTTCCAGCTTTTGTATGATCCCTGATGATCCCCGGCGCTTTTCTTTAAAGTCGTTTTTCTTTCTCCGAAGTTAACGAAAACTTTCCAAAGTTGTACTGAACATCTAACATAACAGTGCTAAGCATGTTGCTGATGAGAACAAATGAGTTTTTGAAAAGTCGAATTTTTCGGTAAACCTCAAATTTCGACCTGTGGATCATCGAAAATTTCATGACTTCAAAACATCATTTGTTCTTATCAGCAACATGCTTAGCACTGTCGGGTTAGATAATCTGCTCACTTTGGAGCTTTTTTGTTAACTTCGGAGAAAGAAAAATGACTGTAAAGAAAAGCGCCGGGGATCATCAGGGATCATGCAAAAGCTGGAAAATGCGGTTCGTACAGCTTCTCGCTCCTGTTCAACATGTTCATAGTGAAGGGTAGTAGGAACACTTACGGATTGGTACACAACGTGAAATCCAGGTATCTGGAGTTTCGAAATATAAAGCTTTCTTTTAAGCTGCGATCCCCTCCCCGCGGGGATGTTAGTGCATGCGGCCCTTAGAGAGCTGTTGGAGCTGAAAAAAAGCGCGAAACCTGCGCTTAAATCTTGCGCAGAGACTCTCACGCGAAAATGCTGGTCTATCTCCTTTGTGAGTGAATTTTAAGGCTTGGAACGTTGTCAGTGTTTTTCGAGGTGACATGGCGATTAGAATGATATATAATGTGTGGGGTTTCGTTGAGAGCCCGCGGAGATCTATGACCAGAGCAAAATACACCGTCGGCTCTGGTCTGTCTCCGCTGCTCGTCTGCGTCTCCGCGCTCTGCGCGCTACCTCGCTACCCCAAACGCGGGGCGCGGGGCATTTCTCTGGTACCCTTTTCTTCGTTGTTTCAAACCCATTTTTAGCAAGCTATATATCATTTTGAAGCTTTTGATCTCCACTTTCATTCTGACAACGTTCCAAAACCATATACTTCTATTTAAACAAGAAATCCGGCAAAAACCTTGTTTTTCGAGAATCTCTGATTTCTCCCCTAGTTTAACTCTTTTCAGGCGGTTTTTCATCATTCTATAAATCCTGCTTTTGTTCATAATGCAGACAACGACCCAGTGCTTAATTCTTCGATTAAGGCGGGATTTTTTGTGAAAAATCGTGAAAAGTGCGTTTTTCATTGTTATGTTCCAATGCTTTAGCAGCGATTTTTTTTCCAGCTTGGACGATTATTGATCAGAATAATGAGCGCAACAATTTAGACAGCGTCCCAGAAAAAGGAAACCACAATGCGGGGCAAAAATTCAAAGTACGCATTAAAAACTAAATTTGGCTTTGACGTGCATTTCGACTTGGTCTGATCAAAACTCTGCGTTTTTAAATATGATTCTTTTCTTGTTTACTTTCTTTTGATAATCGTTACTTCCGAAACATGGTTGGTTTTGGAACAAACGCAAAGAAAAACTAGCTTTTCCTCGTTTTCCCGCGCTGTGGATTACGTGGTCCTGGAGCGAAAACCTGCAATGCCGCCAAATGAAAGAATTCAGACACATGCAGCGGTTTTATCCGATTTTCAAGAATTTATATTGTTTTTACTAATTGTTTTGCATCTTTTCTTCTTCTCTGGATTTATATGAACAACATTCATTTATTATGAGAGGCAGATAGTCAAACAACCTTTACTAGTAAAGGTTGTTTGCTTTGCTGCCCAGTCTCTAGACTATCAAAGGTATGGCCATAAACCTATAGTAATCTCAAAAAACCTTATCACGCAACTCCTGCATCTTTTTCGTTCAGCACCTCGGATAACCCCCTATGTCACGTTTCAGCCAAATCTGTCAAATTTTGTAATTTTCCCCTCATACCATATACCCACAGTTATCCTCACTACAACGTCAATATTTTGCAGAACAGCAGCTGTGCTTGTAGCTTACGTCATAGCCTAGGCAATGAAAAAATGAGTGCGCCATGTTGAGAGAGAAGAAAGTTATTGAATGAGTTGCAACATTAGTCTCCAACCTGATATTACCCACTTATTGCAAATTTACCTCACTCCATAAGTGAGAATTGCGCCAGCGTGATCTTATGCTTACCGCCAGGGGACTCCCATTCTCAATACATGAAAACAACGGCGGTAATATCATCCTACTCCATTCGAGGGTGACA